GGTAGCTCCTGGTTACCGGTTGAAAGATACCGAAGGGGAGGATAGTTCCCAGTTACCGGTTGAAAGATACCGAAGGGGAGGGTAGCTCCCGGTTACCGGTTGAAAGATACCAAAGATTCTGTGCTATGGGTATGATGGGGGAACTCACTAAGCTTCGTGCTTACAGTTTCAGTTTTGGTTTCAGGTACCTCTTCGTCTAAGGGGAAGGAGCCGGCGGTGTAGCAGCGCATCACACACATACATGGTTCCCGCACCCGATATCTGGGATTGTACTATGATTTACACTGTTCTTGATTATATGGTTTTGACACATGACATTATGTTTTTACAAGTAATATGAGATTGATGATGTTTTGGTAAACTGATTTGTGAATTAAGTAATTTAAAAACGAAATTTTTGGCCTCGAAATTTGGGGTGTTACAGCCCTGGTTGCCCAGTGTATCACGACGGTTGCTCTATCTTCTGCTGTTGGCGCTGGCCGTACGGAGATTGTCGAGGATAGCAAGGATGACATCATTTCTGACGTTCGGCGAGCCATGGCTAAAAGGAAGGCCGTCCTGTCCATGGGGGAGACCTCCACTGGTGTTTTTAACATCGGGAGGCGAGTTCAGTCGAGTCACAATTTTACTCGTTTATTGTACCTGGTCTCCTCCATGCCTGAGGCGGTTGTTGTGATCCCTGATGACGACGCACAACAGTTCTAGGGGGATCAAGGGGCGAATAAGCATCCCGTTGTTTCTGTTCAACATATCCCACCATCTTCTTCTGATCTTTCTCCCCTGGGGGTGATAGGGGTGCTGAACTGTATCAATCCCCACCTCGCGAGGGGTTCCAAGGGGGTGATTTTGGGGAAAGAGAGATTTAGACCCCTTTAGATGTGGCTAATGTAGATTAGGTGATCCGAGAGTTCGGTTGGCGCTTTGGAGCCCAAGGTATAACCGTAAAGTGATAGTTCAGTTGTTGCTTTAGCAACTAATAAGGAAAAAACAAATTTTAATTTTTATAAAATTTAACGAAAATAATTTGAAAGAAAAGTTATAAATAAAATTGTAAACGAATTTAACGTTCTTGATTCGGTCATGATAGTTTATCTGTTCGGTTAAAAATAAACGAACTAATATGAACAAGTTTTTGTTCGTATTTGTTCGATACGTTTACAACTTTTGTTATAAGGATTTTCATTTTAGTATTGTAATGAGTTCGAAAGATATATTTAACAAGTTATCAAAGTTAACTTTATCGAATATTAAACCAAATAAAAACATTTTAACAATACTAGTGTTATTTTTATGCATGTGAACGATCTTATTTTTTTTGGTTAAGATGTAATATTTATTTGTAATTTCTTTATAGTAATGATAATAGATTAAATATATATTATACACATTAATATATTATAAACATTAAGATATATATTTTGAAGATTTTATACAAAATAAAAGGGGGGAAAAAGAAAATAAGTGAGTTTTTTTCACTCTTGAGCGTAAGTCAAAAACAGCGTAAGTCAAAAACAATAACGTTTTTTTATAATATTATTTTATTAACTTTAAAGTACACGTAAAGTACACGTATTGAAGAAATTCTTAAAATAATCAATTAAGTCTTCAATGCGCCGTCATTTAAACTGGAAGCAAAATTGCAAAAATGATCTCTATGGTTAGATATAAATTGTTACTTTAGGCCAAAAAGATTTAGTTTAATACTAATGGTCCAAAGTTTTCATTTTTTTTTTCACTTTGGTCCAATTTACTTTAAACTTTATTGTAATGACCAATTTACCATTCTTTTTTGTTTTTTCACGTTTTTTATTTATTAAAATACTTTTATAATTATTAAAAGAAAAAGAAAAAAAAATCTCAATCTCTCTCTTTCTCTCTCTCATATCTCTCTTCTCTCTCATCTCTCCTCGCTCCTCTCTCTCTCTATATATCTATATATATATATATATAATATATATAATATATATATATATATATATAAAAGTTCAATAGAGAACCATTATTAATCAAGGAACCAGGGAACCAATCCAAAGCGTCGGAATTTAAAACGATCAAAGGCAAAAGGAAGGGTTGTAAAATTTTATAATGGACACACATGTACCGGATTAGAATAAAACCACTTCTTTTTTTCATTTAAAAATTTTTTTAGGCCAAGTTTTTTATCGAAAAAAAAAACCGAATATACCGTTGTTCACGATTTTTCGTCCTCTTTCCATAGAGATCCATGATGATATATAAAAAACGAACTTTTTTTTCGAGGAAAACCCACTTAATTTTCTTAGTTTTTTTCAATATTTAAGTTTATTTTTAACAAAAAAAACTAATTATACCAAAAATATTAATTTTTTGTACTCTATTAATAAACATCAACACCGATTATAAAAAACCTGGAACAGTGTAGATTCACACTGTAAATCTAAACTGTAAATATTTCAATTTTTAACATTCACAATATGAAAAATATCGAACAGTTTAGATTCACATTGTGAATCTGAATTACTATTATGCACATTGTGAATCTGAGAAGGTTCACAAAAAAAAACATCGATTAGTGTAGATGCACACTGTAAATCTAAACTGTAAATATTTCAAATTTTAACATTCACAATGTGAAAAAGGTCCGATCAGTTCAGATTCACACTGTGAATCTGACTTATTATTATGCACACTGTAAATCTGAGGAGGTTCACAATGTGAATCTGAATAGGTTTACAATATGAATCTGAACAAGTTCATAATGTGAATCTGAATTGAAATATCGTTTTTTTTGTTTTTTTTTAACATGAATATGAATCTATGTTTAAAAAGTACAAAAAATATGAATTTTGATATATTTATTAATTTTTTTCTATAAAAAATAGACCTTAACTTTTTTCATCAAAGAAAATGAAGTGAGATTTTTTCGAAAAAAAAAAATCGTTTTTATATATCATCATGGATCTTTATGGAAAGAGGACGAAAAATCGTGAACAACGGTATATTCGTTTTTTTTTATAAAAAAAATGGCCTAAAAAAATTTTAAACGAAAAAAAGTGGTGAGTTTTTTGTAAAGGGTGGATTTTTTGGTATAATCCGGTGTGTGTGCGTCCAATGTAAAAGTGTACATCTATTTCCTTGGCCGTTGATCATTATGATTTCCGACACTCACGATTGGTTCCTTGGTTAATTATGGTTCTCTATTGAACCTCACCATATATATATATATATATATATATAATATATATATATATATAATATATATATATATATATATACCTTCAAACTCCAATGTCCTTTTCTACCATCATAACCACCACCGGTCCGCATTACCGCCACCAGCAACATTAGACGCCACCAACAGTCGGATGCCAGAAAATTTAACTAGCTCCGGCGAGATATTATTTTTTGGCAAGAAAAAAAATTACTGATGGGTCTCGAATTTGATTTCCGGCGAGAAAAAATTGCAGGTGGGTGAGTGGGTCTCAAACTCCCATTTTAGGAATAATGATTTGCAGGTGGGCGTTTCAACAAAACTCAAATAAATACCAGCCCAAAACTTAAGATGATTGTGTTCAAGTGTTCTTGGTATGAACAAATAGAAGCCCAAAATGTAAGATCTGAAATCTTGTTTATAATGAAGTAAATCAAAATTATTGTCATTTTGGTTCTTGTGTTCCAAAAATGACCACCGATGAGCAAACCCTAGAACTTAACATGATATCTTTGGAGTCTTGATGAACTTAACTTGAAATCTTCAGAAAACCCTTCATAACTCCAAAAACTCTAATTTTGATTTTGGGTTTCTTCACAGATCCAACCATTACCGACTCAATTTCTTATACAACCACCATTACTGCAGCTACCAAGTCAGATCGAAGATAAACCTCCATGGCAGACAACGATTTCACAGTTGGAGATGACCTCAACATCTTAGCATCTTCGTTTTACTGATGAAGAAAGAGAAACAGTGGAGTTGACGACCGTAATGTGAGTGTGTGTGTGCCTAAGCTCTTGAGAGAATGTAGAGAGATGGTGAGAGAGGTGTCGTTCGACCTCAAATATGGGTTGTATGTATGTGTTTTGCGTTTATGATCAAAGTCAAAATCTGCAAAATCTTTGAAGAACAAAAATATTGAATCTGAGTTCTTTAACATTTGGTTTCATGTTTTTCAGATCTCTTGTGTTCATCTTCATTTTGGTTCATCTGGTGTGTGTTTTTATGTAAAAATAGGTATGTGTTTATGTTTAAGAACAAATCGAGAATGGATCAGTCGGAGAAGGGGAAATGTCGGCAATGAGAGAAAGCATAGAAATCTTGGGAAGAAGAAGAAGTGGGTGGAGGATTTTGACTTCCTTTTTCACAGGAGAGAGAGAGAGAGAGAGAGAGAGAGAGAGAGAGAGAGAGAGAGAGAGAGAGAGAGAGAGAGAGAGAGAGAGAGAGAGAGAGAGAGAGAGATGTATTTTTTTAATTATTAAAGTATTTAAATAAATAAAAAACTAAAAAAAACAAATCCAAGGGCAAAATCGTCATTACAAAAAAGTTTAAAGTAAATTGGACCAAAATGGCAAGAAAATGAAACCTTTGGACAATAAGTGCTAGTCCAAACTTGTTTGGCCCAAGGTGGTAATTTCGACCTAAATACAGGGACCATTCTTGCAATTTGGTCAAATTGGAATAAATAAGTCTTAATTGACCCAAAACTTATGAGAGAGAATAGACAACTGAGAACAAGTTCTTTTTTTTTCCCATCTCTAAAGAAGACTTTTTTTCTTCGCATCTCTAACTTTATTCTCGTTGCATTTTTGTATTTTTGTGACGTCCTTTCGTATTGGTCAGCAGAAGAGGATCCCCAATAGACAACTGAGGCATAATGTCTGCTTGAGAAATTCCCGTACAAAAATATTGAGATGGATTTGCAGGTGCATTTGGCTTATTGTGAATAAATAAGTATATATATATATCCATTCCCATGCGGCCACTCATTCACGCTTTCCTAATTAAACAAAACTTACTTTTCTCCATGGAAATGCTTTCGAGTACCGTCACCAAAAGATCAATCCTGCCGGTTTCAATGCCACCACGAGCACCGTCAGACACAGCAGCTCACCCCCCATGTTGGTCAGTTACTTACAGTAATTTCATGTTTACTTGATCACGGAGATCTTGATTGTCAGTTTATTAATCATTGTACATCATATCTATATTGCAAATTCATGTATGAAGTGATCTCGTTTTTATGGTGGCAGGTATCGCGCTTGTTCAAAGATGCTGCATCATGTGCGCGTTGAAATACTTCTTGCAGCATATGCTTCATTGATCGGACTACTCCAACTGAAGTATCATGACGAATCTGCCTTTGAAACACATAGGTTCTTCATGACATTATCTGTCGTTGCAATGACTGTTTTTGCACTGGCTTACTGGATTTTAGAGTACCATACATGCGAGAATTCCAACACGAATGAGTCATACGCCCATCATAAGATCTTAGTAAGTATTGCTTTTTTCTCGATGGTTACTGGTCTTCTCTCCATTATTTTGGTATTGCTTCTTCCTGCAAAGTTCGTTTGGATTGCCCAGGCAGCTATGGGTTTGATTGTTATAGCGATAATAGCATGCGTCTCTATCGAGCATGTGAATTCACTACCAAAGAAAATGCAAGTACCGATTTCGAAGGTCCTGGAATTAGATCAAGAACAAGTTTCGACGGAGGTGAGACAAGATATTAATGGGCCACTTTTAGTTTGAATTTTCTTAGAAAGTTTTATAAGATAAACCCCATTAATTCATGTTTTTAGTATTGTAATCGGGGATGTTAATAAGTGTATATAAAAGTGATTATTTTATTTTGTTTTTGTTCTCACCATTTGAAGTAGCTAGGTCCATGATCTGTGGACTAGTGACAGTTGGGAAGATTTTGTTCCAGTGTTTCAAGATAGATAATTAGATATTCTTCCTTTTTTGGGTAATAATTAACGAAATTAAACGCTAGAAGAGACAAGTTTTCAGCCAAAAACTCACGTGCCTCAACAATAAACCTAATTTTTCCTCACACGTGGGTGCGTTGATTTCTCACGTGATCTCCCGTACCCCCTTCCCTTCCGGCGGCGGAAAAATAGTTATTTTATTGGATCTTCAAGGGCACGACATACATTTACTAAAGAAGTTCCTGAAGCTATTTCGTCTTTAACAAGGTAACATTTTATTTATACCAAAACTACCCTCCGATTAAACCTTCTAAATTAGTGGTTTTGCAAAAACCTGTTATTCTTGCTTTTTCCAACTCAACATCACAATCTCACAATCTGAATGTAATGTTGAACAAGCTTATAACTGGAGTGAGGTTTGACATTTATACTATCAAATTTGACCCATAGCTTATACCCTTAATAGTCATATAACTCTTGTTTTGTTTAGTTTCATTTTTTTTCTTTATACTTTGTTGATGGTAGGGTCTTGCAATATTTGCAAATTGGAGTCCCTTTTCCCCCCGGTGAATATAATGGAAAAGTTTAAGTATCCGGACAGGGTTTTAATCTTTTCTTGAACCCTAAAAATAATAAAATTGCCAAGCGGATCTAGTTGAGGAGAATGGTTCCATTCCCATTTTCTTGGCATGTGATTCATCTTAAATCTTCTTTTGCAGGTTATTTTTCAAAATAACTCATTCTTTATCATCCTTATTTCTAATATTTTACTTTGCTGCTTGTTTTTCTTCGTGTAATTACCCAAAAAATTCTTTCATTATATTGATGGTAGGGTTGATGATTCTTTTTTGTATAGGCTAGTTATTTAATTTCTTGGTTTATTTAGTGTTTTTTTTTTGGAAAATATCATAATAATTAAATATATGGTCATTTGTATATTGTGGATTATCTGAATTTAATTAAGTGAATTTGTTTATGGAGAACTTGCAATATATATATATATATATATATATATATATATATATATATATATATATATATATATATATATATATATATATAATCTGTCGTGTGTATATTAGGTATTTCATATTTTGCAAAAGTTTGCAAACATGTTATCATTGTATATGAAACACCAAATATGTTTAGCAATTTCGATTAGGTTTTACTGAATTTGTTTGGTTTATTATGTTTTTTTGTTTATTTAATATAGTAAAAAGTGTGAATTTTCATATAAAATTATCTTTATATTTAATTTTTATTTTACTATTAGCGACAGTTTAGTGACGTAAATCCGTCAAAAATGTTGTATAATAAGTTAGTAATCTGTTATATAGCTATTCTGTCAGTAATCTGTTACTTAGCTATTCCGTCGGTAGTCTGTTATAAATACATTCCGTCGGTAATACGTTGCAAAACGATTTCCGTCGGTGATCGGTTACTAATTACTGGCTGGTGATTTCATCACTAAAAATTTGGTGTAGCCGTCACAAATCTGTTTCAAACAATTAGCAGCAAGAATATATCGACAGTAAAGCCTATTAGTGATGGATTACCGACGGTTTTGGCTGTCGGTATTGCTCTTTTTTGTAGTAATGGTTAATGGTGAACAACTTTGTAAACAAGTTCGAAACACCATTATTCATCACCCATATTACAGAATGTTGTTTCACACTGTCTGTACTGTATTCAAGCAGCGGAAGTGACCCCTTTAACTTAGAAATGGAAAATTCCATGGAAGATTGATGTGCAAAACAGTTTGGTAAGTCTGTCAGAGTAAATTCTTGAGTAGTCATATCAAATGACACAATCAACTTATTTGCATCTACCCTATATTTAACAAATTCCTCAATCCCATGAAAAGAAAATCAATAAATAAACTTATCTATATCAACCAGATTCCATCTAACTATAATCGGTTTATCAGGCACTTTGCTCGTAGGAATTCTCCAACTACCTTGTAACATCCGTAATTTATAAGGTACTAATCTTATATTTATTTAAGGTTATTAGCTTTATACTTTTTGGGCTTGGACCCTTGAGCCTTTGTGTTTGGGCTGAGGAAGCACGTACGCGGGGCGTACCTTGCCATGTACGCTCAACGTACTCAAGGAATTGGATCGCGGAAGACATGCACGTACGCCCAACGTACCAAAGGGTACGCGCCGCGTACGTGCGTAAAGTCTAAAACCCTAACTTTTAGGGTTTGATCCCTATATAAAGGACATTATGCCCTTGGACCAGCCTCCCTATCACCCTTAAGCAGCCACCTCGAAAACCCTAACCCACTCTTGTGTATTTTTGCAATTTGAGAGCTTCTTTGTGTGATTTTGGTGTTCTTAGAAGAAGAGGAAGTTGAGGAAGAAGAAAGGATTCAAGAGGAGCTTGTAGATCCAGGAAATTGGCATCATTCCTAAATCTTTTGAGGTATCAAGTTCCAAACTTGACCTTTGTATGCTTAGATTTCTTTATAGGAGTGTTTAATGTCACTTTTGGAATCCATTGTTGAGGTTGCTTGCATCTTGTTAGTTTCAGACCAAAAGAGCTGTCCTGTTGAGCTCTTAGAGGCATTTAGAGTCTTAAAAACCTGACCTTGATGGTTAAGCCACAACCATGCAAGTGTTTGTTGGTCTTAAAGCTTGTTAAAAAGACCAAAATCATGTTTTGACCCCAACCATGCATGCAAGCACATAAAGTTTGTAACTTTTGGGCTTTTGGGCCTAAGAGGGTTGGGCCTGGACTATTGGGCCCCATGGCCCACTGAGGAGTATGGTTCTGGGCCTGGGAATTTGGGAATTTAAAAGCATTAGGCCTTTTGGGCCATATTGAGCCACTCGAGATTATCCATTTTGGGCTAAGGATTCATTAGACTTGTGAAAGGGCCCATTTGAAGAGTTGGACCCAATTTAAAAAATTGGGCCATTAGTGGGCCTTAAGGATCCTTGTTGGACCATAGGTACATTGGGTTTAATAAGTTAGAATTGGGCCTTAGGAATGGTTCAAGTTAGGAGAAGGGGGGGGGGTAAAATGGTCATTTTATCCTAAGTAGTGTTATGGATTCTGATTGAGTCTTATTATGATTATGACAGTCGGGAGTCATCGAAGCAGCTGTTACAGAATACTACCCGTGAGATTCGACACTCAGCTTTACAAGGTAAGTTACCTTCTAGTAGAAGTGGGTCTACAGCCACTATGCCAACCCACTAGTAGGAGTTGTTTGTTAGATGATTGTCTTCGTGATAATTATCTGGTATGTTATGCTTACGTATTGGTATGCTATGATGATATGTGATAATGATAGGAAGGGTAGGATAGACCCTGGTACCAGTCGATAGGGCCGAAGGGGTATGCCAGCACCCAAAAAGCTAGGCGGTACATGATTTATATGTTATGCACTAGGATGCTATGTGGTAGAAGTAAGGGGTGAAATAGTCCCCGGTACTGGTCGGCATGACCGAAGGGGTAGGCCAGCACCCTGATATGCTAGGCTAGATACCGGTCGATAGGACGGAATGGGTAGGCCAACACCCTGATATGCTAGTCTAGATACCGGTCGATAGGTCTGAAGGGGTAGGCCAACACCCTGATATGCTGGACAAGTTACCGGTTAAAAGAGACCGAAGGGGGGTAGAACCCAAATATGTTAGATTGTATGTGTTATGTATGGTATGTGGTATGATGGGGGGAACTCACTAAGCTTCGTGCTTACAGTTTACAGTTTTGTTTTTCAGGTACCTCTTCATCGAAGGGGAAGGAGCCGGTACGGTAGCAGTGCAATGCACACACACATGATTTCCGCACTATGATGTTATTGGGATTGTACTCTGACATTATTATTATTATTCCATGACATGTTTTTATGACATTTGACTTATGGGTTTATGAGTTTGACATGATATCGATGATGTTTTTCAGTAAACGGTTTTATAAGTTACATAATTAAAACAGAATTTTTGGTCTTAAATTTTGGGATGTTACAAGTTGGTATCAGAGCCTTGGTTTGAGGGATTCGGACACACCTTTGGGGGTGTCTAGACTCAAATCGAGGGTTTGGAAGGTTTTTACAAGAAAATAGTTTTTCTAAAATTTAAAAAAAAAGGTTTTGAGAAAGAACAAGGTGTGTGATGTGTGCGACCGGCCGAGCTCAAGTAAGTTTTCCCCAAGATACCCATACAAGTTATGTTACAATATGATATGATTGTGATAGCTGCATGCTAGATTAGGGCTAAGGATCTAGGAAGGATGCCTTATGTGTCTATTATATGTGTATGAGAACTGAATGCTAGATTAGGGCTAAGGATCTAAGAAGATGCCTTATGTTCCTGTTATATGTGCTTATCGAGCTGCATGCTAGAGCTGATTAGCCAGTAATATGATGGCTTGAATAGGATATGTTGTGTATGGTTACTCAATGCTCGAATGCTGCTTGCTTTGTACTTTTAGGGATTCTAGTTATCTTTAAATAACTAGTAAACGAATACGTTAAGTTACATATTACGAGGACTAAATAATTTCTGAAGGTTAGGTCTCGCCCTATTGCGCAACTCTTGTTTGAGTCCAACCGTTGTAGGGTAGGACCACTCATTCGAAGAATTATCTGGTCTTAGTGATATGTAATGGTATTCTCAAGCTAGTTAGGTTAAGGTGGCAGCAATTCCTTATGCATCTGATGGCAGAGAGTAGGTCAGAGAGTTACTCTAGGGTAAGCCTAGGATGAGATTAGTACAGAGAACTATAGCAGTAGAAGGGACTTGGTAAAGTCAAGGAAAAACTTGAGGAAAGTATGGATAGATGTAGATTGTAGTATGGGCCAGTACTACT